AAAAATGTGTATTGTTTTTGGTTTAACAACCTCTAGTGATCTCTGTGTTGTTCAGATAGACTCAAAACCTGATTCAAATGAAAGCCAAGAGTGTCCCCTTTAAGATGACACCAAACATTATATTATAGACCTTTGACAAATGCTTATACCATGAGCCTACACCAGTCTCAAAAAACAGAATTTTTCCAAAGGGGTTGTTTGCTTCATGAGCTGATAACTATGACTCAGCTGCCATTTAGGAAGGGCTATCATACCAAAATATTACTAGAGACATGTATCTTTTCAAAAAATATTGATAGACTTTGCCATCCTGAAATGGACAAAGAAATGGTCTGGCCCATGGACTAATGGTGTCCTGGCATGACAACTACATCAAAGGTCTCATCTAAACATAGAGGCTTTTTCTCAATGAACACCTGAAAATATTTGAGTCTGCAGTTTACAGACAGAGGTCTTGTGTAAGCAAAGCCTCAAATAAAAATGTATTATATCAGTATTTTTATTGCATTTTCAGTATGACTTTTAAATCCATATTGATTTGTTTTTAATTTTCTTAACAGGAAGTAAGATTCTGTGCTTATGATGACCTGTAATGTCATGTAATGATACCTCAGATGATCATAATTACTCCAGTCCTTAATTTCTCTTGTTTTTTTTTCATTTTTCTCAAACTGTAGTTACTGCTCTTTACTGAACACTGCAGTTTTTCCTGTTTAGTTGGGCTTTGTAAAAAACAAACAAACTCTGTGATTGACTTACTGATATGAACTAAAAATGAAATGTTTTGGTTTTTAAAAACTGAGTCAAAGCCTAGAAAGAGAGAGAGCTGCAGTAGGTTTGTTAAAGACCCCATCTGAGCTTGATGTACAGTAAGAAGTGGACTAACAAGGCTGTAGGGAGGAGAAAGAGGGTCTGGGCTTTTCCACCTCACTGAGCCTCTAGCCTTGTGTATGCTAGACACCCAAGGGGAAGAAAGTGTGACAGACAGCAGTGGCATTGAAGGATGTTGGCCTGTAAGTGTGGAACTGGCACTAAGTGAATCACATTAAACATTTGCAACCACTGAGAAAAACTCCACACCTAAGTATTTTTATTGCTTCTAATAAATTTTTTTCCTAACGTTACTTTCTTTATCAGATACTACCTGCTGAGGATGATCACACCTCTGGTGCCAGTCCACAATATTTCAGTATTTATTTATTTTTTTTCGAATGCTGCTTATACACATTTGTGGGCATTATTCTCTGGACTAAGAGATTTGACTTATCATTTTATTTGCCAAATTGATGAACAAATTCTTACAACTTTTACAGAATCAAAACATTTTTTCTCAGATCACAAGCATGAGGATTTTAAATCTGTCTGCTCATATTTCTTCTTGCTTTGTTCCCAGTCTCTATGGTAGACACATGCAGGCTAACCCAGAGCCTCCGAAGAAGAGCAGTGACAAGAGCAGGAAGATCAGCCGCAAACCACTTGCTGCCAAGAACAAATGAAGAGGAAATTGAGCATGGAGATGAGCCTTCACCATCAGCCAAACTGTCTGCCTCTCATGTTCCTGTTACGTAACAAGTTGGGATGTTTTTGAATGTCCTATTTTCAATCTTCAGTGGTCTTTGTGCATTTTTGTTTCCTTTTGCTTTATGTGCTAATGAAGTAAGCTTACATACATAAAGGGAATTTTACATTGTTAACACTTTGTGGAAAAAGTATCTTGCTTATTAAGAGCTCTATGCCAAATGAAAAAGACACGTTCCTTAAAAATACTTGTGGAAGACAGCTGCTAAATGACTTTACACACTATTATTACTTCTGCACTTTCCCATAAATGAAAATGAAGACTCTACAGTATTAAACTCTGAAAGATCCCGGTTAACAGCTGTGTATTCTCACTGATCTTAGCTCCTTATTTTAATCTGTGTTTTCTGTCTTGGCTGGTTTTTCCAGTTCATTACAATCCTGTTACTTTTTAGTAGCAGCCAGAGTGAAACACCGAGGAAATCTGAGGTTTAAAATTCAAATTAGACTTAAATTAGTGATGAGAGATGATGCTTCCCCTGGTTCCTTTGTCCAGTTTAAACAGGTGTGGTATAACATCTGCTTTGCTTGGTTTTCTTAAGCACATGCTTCACAATATGCTGCATGATCATGAACTTTTAAAGTAAAGGCTGAAAGTCTTTACTTTAAAAGCTTCTAGACATCTAACATGTAAGAGAAAAGACTGAAAAGTGTTTAAAATATGTACCTGTTATTTCGCTCTTAGTTTTTATTTGCTTCTCAAATTTGAAATTTCTTTTACTTTTTACTTTTATTACAAATATTATGTTGCCTGCTGGTAATATATCCTGAGAAAATAATCACCAGCCTTGTTTGCATATTTGTGTCTTTGGCAACCAGTAATGGCAGAGTTTGTAGAGAAACCACAGATAACATAAAATATGAAGAAAACACAAATATTAACCGACTGGTTTTTTTATATACATATATAAACACATGAATTCATAATAATACCCTAAAGGTTTATGTAATGATCTTAGTACATATAATTTTTTCACATTTTGTCCTAAATGAGATGTGGGGCCCCAGTTCACGTCTGCAGCTGGGTTTTTTCATGGAGCTTTGATTTTCTGAAGAGTTTCAGACCTTCACGACTGGAAACAAATGAAGCTGATGAACTCACTGCATCCATTCCACTGTCCTCACAGAATCCCTTCGATTCTTCTCATTTTTATCTCTGTGCCTTCAGATATATGTCATTTTATATTTAATGCATAATCAGTTGTTGGAACATTTTTCTTTTGCCACAAGTAAGTTGATAAAAAATTCACATTTTGCTTTTGTCAATAAACGTTTTGAGAAATGAACCACTGTTCATTGTTTTCATTTAAGTTATAACTTATTTTCTGTAATTTTATATTCAGGTCAGTTCATTTAACCGGTCATATCATGTCATAAAAGAACTTTACATATAGAGCCAATTATTTTTTATAATGTTTACTGCTTCATTTCTTAACAATTTAGAGCACACTACATGCACATTATCCTAGTGATTTGTTGTGCTGCTGTTTCTCTGGACAGAAGCAGGAGACTGATCATTTCTGTTGGGGTTTAATGTCTTATTTTTAAGTTTATTTTTGTCATCACCATAAGTGATATGATCTACCATTAGTGAAATCTTTAGTTTTGCCTCATATCTTTGAGATACCTCAGATAAAGCATGGCTTACAGAAGTAATCCTCAAACGGTGAGCCCTGGGCGATCTCTCTTGCACACTCATTCCATAAACGGAGAGTTAAAGTCCTAGAAAAACATCACAATCCAATTAGCTGAATCACTTCAGCAAGTCTAAGGTTAGCTCAGAACTCCTGAGACCTTCATTTGTCACAGGTCAGGCAGACATATTTTCTGCAATGTTTTCCAATAGATACTATGGAAGCATTTGACAGGCAGAGCTAGGAAATGAACAGAGAAACATCAAAGAATGAGAATGTTTCTTATGAGGTTTATATCTCATTAAAACCAAACAGGTTGTTGTTTGGAGGCAACAGTAAAACAGCAACATCTTGCATTGTTTGAGTGTCCTTTAGAAGAAACAGTGAAAAGATCAGTTTCTTCTTATTCCTGTTTATTTTGTTTGTTATATTATTAGATTTAAAAACATAGTGTTCTTAAAATGATTTTCTAGTTCTGCCAGCTGAATGCTTCCATAAGATACAATATGACATTTGTTTTGTAGAAATGATTTACAGTTATACATGGACTTTCAGATGCTAACAGTTTAAAAGTTGCTGTGTTGGTGCCTAACGTTGGTACATACTGGAAAGTTGTGCACATGCTTTGAACAGGGCTTTCAGTTCAATTCAAATAACTTTATTTGTCACTGAGGGGCAGGTTCACAAGTGCAGAACAAATAGACTCAAAAGTGATAATTCAAACAATAGAATTCGTAAAATTGATGCTGCTAAATATAAGCATGTAGTAAAATGTGCAGTGTGATTTGTGACTGCAGTGTGCAGTAATTATGTAGCCAAAGTTCATAGATGTATTGGGACAGGGGCGCCATATAGGGGGGAAAGTTATGACAATTCTAAAGGCCTCTGACCAACAGGGGGCCCTCCACAATTTATTTTTTTTCTTTTTCTGTTCATAGACATAAAAATAAATGGGGCCCTGTCGATTACAAAATTAATTATATTGTGTTTTCTAAAATTGTTTTTAGCAGTAAAAATTACATGTTTCCACTCCCAGACCAAAAAGCACATATTTGCCCTGAACCCCCCTGGATCTGCATGAAATGTTCGTTCCTGCTTAGTGCTCGACGGTGACGCTGTTCAGCAGCAGACAGTAGAAGAACCACTGTGGCAGTTACTATGCTACTAAAAAAAAAAGATAAAATCAGGTTTTCAAAAATAATAGACGGAGGGAGAGAGAAAAAGGAAAGAGTGTGAATTTGTAACCCAGTTTTTCTCCAAGAGAGGTGGGTAGACTGTGTGAGATTATCAACCATTTAGCATAGTTAGCTTAGCTACAGACTACTGTTTGCCTCCATTTCAGTAGCATTTAATGAATTAAGAAAAGAAATTATCAACATATTCATATATTCAACTTGTCCCTGTATCTTTTACCACACTTAACAACGGATAGAGCTGCTCTCAGTTAGCAGCAGCTCTAACCCACGTCCCTCCTGACTCGTCCTCTCCTGAGTGAAATTAAAGCTGCAGTATGTAACTTTTATAAAAAAATTATATATTTTTTTTTACATATTTGTTAAAACTGGACCCTGATCAGTGATGGCTCTGTGTTGAGAAGAGCCATCACTCAACAAATTATGTTGACGGTCATTATATTGTGACAGTATGGCATGAGAGATAATCTGTGAAAAATGTATTTCCTCTCCCTTCTCCCAGTGCTAGAAACAACTAATCAGTGGCAGAAGCACATTTAGCAGTGAATGAATGAGGTTGATTGACAGCACTAATAGCGTCCACTTGGTTCTGATTGGTTGTTTTTGGTCAGAACGGTGCATTACTTTAGATAGTAATAGTAGTTCAAGGAGGAGGTGGAGGAGATTGATCTTTTCACAGATTATCTGTCTCATAACAAACTGTCACAACGTGGTGACAGCTTTAACAAATATGGAGAATTTTTTTTATTAAAGTTATATACTGCAGCTTGAATAAAATGCAACTACATAACATTGTTTGAGAAGTCTGGATTGCTTCATGTATATTTTGCATGTTGTCTGTAACTGTTGCTCATGGAGAGACATTTCAGTAATCTAAAACTGATAAATAAAATTTAAGCAACTTATTTGCATACTGTTTGCAAGTATACATACAATATGCATTTTACTGTTGCATGTAAAATTCACTAGCAGTAAATATTGTGCTATTATCAGTATTGGACCAAAGAAAGCAAGGCAGATGCAAGTCTTTAAAACTGCGACGCTTTTGATGAATCATGTAGAATCAAAAAACTGTAACAGCAGCTACGTGGGGGGGCCCAATCTAATTTTTTGTCATGGGGCCAAAGATTCCTGGTGGCACCCCTGTGTTGGGAGGGTCAGCTGAACCCTGATCAGTGATGGCTCTGTGTTGAGAAGAGCCATCACTCAACACATTATGTTGACGGTTGCTTTTGACCCTGGGGACAAAAGCAACCTTGCTCCTCTGGGTCTTGTAGTTTCGATAGCACTGGAGCCTATGTCCAGGAGAGAGCCAGCTGGCTCAGGGTCCAGACGGTCATCAGGGTCCAGAAAGATATGGATAGCTTTTCTTAATATTTGTTGCTCACAAATTGTTGCGAGGAGAACAGGGTTTTTTTCTACAAAAAATCTTAACAATGCTCTGTAGAGACGGAACAAAAACAGCTAATGATGGAGAATGTTAAAATGCTGCTTATAAGTCAGCTGTAGAATGTGGACATAATTTGCTTACTGACATTGAAATGGTTCAACATTTGCAGACTATATTGTTACTGTTACCACACTTTTTAACAATCTTCGTGGTACGAGATACAAAATTCAGTGGGTTGTCAAACACTCTACCCAGACTCTCCACAGGATCACCATGTCTAGTTGTGGTAATGGACTTAGCCAAAGCTGAGCTGGTGACATCCAATCATTTAAATCAGGCTTTTAACTTAATGAGTTTTTTAGGATGATTCAAGATAAGCTGAAAAATGACTTGCAAAATAATTTCAGAAACTTTCTTATTCAGGTCTAAACTATCTATTGTCATTGCTCAATACTTTTGGTTTCTCCTCATTTCATTGAGTTTATAGAGTTCTCGTTTTCTTCTGAATTCATCTCATACTGTTCCAAGGACACAATGAGTCCCAGGCTAAATAAATCCCATTGATTTTCACATGGTGATTTATAGGTGGACAGTGTTAGTACAGCCCCAACTGTCGAAGGAAGACTTGAAAGTTTAGCCTTTAATGAACACTGTGATGCAGGTTTGAGAAGAAAGTGTCCTTCTCGTGTTTACCTTGAAACTATTGTTATACTGGATCAGTTGCCAGTAAGAAATACATATTGTACAAATATAATACACATTGTATAAATATCCCAAATTAAATTTTTGGTTCACAAATTCTTCTCTCTCTCTTTCTCTCTCCCTCTCTTTCTCTCTCTCTCTTTCTGTCTCTCTCTCTCTCTCCCTCTCTTTCTCTCTCTCTCTCTCTTTCTCTCTCTCTCTCTCTCTCCCTCTCTTTCTCTCTCTCTCTTTCTGTCTCTCTCTCTCTCTCTCCCTCTCTTTCTCTCTCTCCCTCTCTTTCTCTCTCTCTCTTTCTATCTCTCTCTCTCTCTCCCTCTCTTTCTCTCTCTCTCTTTCTCTCTCTCTCTCTCTCCCTCTCTTTCTCTCTCCCGACCTCACTCTTACACCTTGCTGCCTCCATTTGTTTTGTTTCTTTGTTTCCCCCTGATCTACTTTTAGATCTATCTTCAGATCCACTGCTGGAATTAAGATTATAAACTCGTTTCGGAGATTTTCCAGCAAAGCAGGAGAACAAAGACTGAAGGGTTTCTTTGAAAGAGTCACTCATCATAAAAGCAGCATATTTTGTCTTTTGAGGTTTACCTCTCTAGCCAGCCAAAATTCCCCCCAAACGCAGACAGCAGGACCGTCCTGCGCTTTCGCGGCTCGCTGGCAGGAAGGGACTGGTGGCAGCGGGGGTCCTGGGCATCATGATGGTTCTGGTTTTGGTTGTCCTTATTCCAGTTCTGGTGAGCTCAGCTGGAACATTTACGCACTACGAGATGCTCGGCGCTTGTAGGATGGTGTGTGACCCATACAGCACAACTACTCCAAGCAGCACCGGCGCTCCAGACGCGGTCCGGGACAACAGCCTCCTGCAGTCATTGCCCACTTTTATCCAGGGACCCAGAGGAGAACCGGGTCGTCCGGGTAAGGTGGGACCAAGGGGAGCTGCAGGTGAACCGGGACACCCCGGTCCAGCTGGGCCACCAGGAAATAGAGGTGAACCGGGAAAACCTGGTTTACCAGGACCCCCGGGACCCAGCGCAGTTGCTGGCGCAATCAGCGCCGCCACCTACAGCACTGTGCCAAAGATCGCCTTTTACGCAGGACTGAAAAAGCAGCACGAAGGGTACGAAGTGCTCAAATTTGACGACGTAGTGACCAATTTGGGAAATCATTACGACCCAACTTCTGGAAAGTTCACGTGTTCCATCCCTGGGATTTATTTCTTCACTTATCACGTTCTGATGCGTGGAGGAGATGGGACCAGTATGTGGGCGGATCTTTGCAAAAACAATCAGGTAAAACTTTGAACTTGGGGGGAACAAAGGACATTGAAAGTATATTTTCTTTTCTTTTTTCTTTCCTTTTCCGTTCTTTTCTTTTCTGCAATACATGCCTACAAGCAATTATGTTAGTCATAATTACAATTCATAACGTTTTCAGTTCACATAATACAGTAAGCAACATTTACATAATACATACGGTTTTAGCATCAATAGCCCACCAGAACATTCTGAGATAATTGACCAACACACACGCTGCCAAAATGATTACATCTATCTTAATATTTCAATACCACTAATAAAAAACGTCCAATATTGCATTTTCTCATTGTATTGTAGGATATAGTTCAGTTGCATGCAAACTGTAGTGCTGATCCTCTAAAAATGACTATTAATAAATAATTATAGTGATAACTAATCATGAAACCAAATCCAAACAATAACAGAATATGGAGGATAGATTAAAACAAGTAAGTTCAAAAATGGACAAATTCTTGTGTTAAATTGAAGCATATAATTACAAACTCAAGCTTTAAGAGTCAGCACTCAGATTCAGCAGCTCTGAGTAGTAATAGTCTAAATGGACAAGTGCAAATAAAGTGAGCGTGGTCAGTATCTTTGATAACAGCTTTGATAAGTTTTTAGCCAAGAGACACAGTAAACTCCATGCACCACAGTTTGCATTAGCGATGCTGTGCAATAAAATGTGGTCAATTTGTTTTTGCAAGGCGTTGCCTTTTTCCTGACTTATGAATGTTGTTTTATGAGGGCAGACTCCCTGACATTAATGATGTGCAGTAAAGCAGGAGTGTGGGATGGCACATCTAATAAGGGCTGAGAGTGTTGATAATGTTGACCACTTAATATTTTTAAAGTATAGTCACCTGCAAAAATTAAGTTTAAACAATATTTAATTCTTTGCACTGCCTCTCGGTATTCTTGACTGATATGAATGGTTCATCACAGGACAGTTCCTGAAAAAATGTATCCCAGTCAAGCAGGTAACACAAGTGCAGCAGGATCAGCTGCAGCTGTCTTATTTTTTAGGGAAAAAATGTGGAAATACATTGAGTATTCAAATCAACTACATGCATAGAAGAGTTTCTTAAGATCTTCTTGGAACATTAGTCCTTTAATCCTCAAATTTGGATTGTTAGGGTAAGGGTTAGGGTTTGTTGGACTTTGGATTGTTAATTTTATGTACCATATGTATACCACATCCACATATTAATTTGTTCTATGTATCTGCTTAGTGCTTAGGGTTAGGGCATGAATAATGCATGCATACGCACTCAAAATGTGTGCTGTCATATTTTATGCTCAAGACGGCATGTATTAAAATTAACGTGGCGTAAAAGTTTACGTAGATACAAACATGTCCGCTTTGAAAAAAAGCTTTTTTGTGGACAATAACAAACTACAACTTGCCTAAATATATTGAAAACTGACTTCATGAACGCATCACTATCAGGCAAGGTGGGTGAGGCAAACACTGAGGATGGGCAGACCAGGAAGCAAACCGACCTCCACCATCACCACCCTTAATAACATGTCATCTATAAACTCCATACAAGACATGGAAGATGTCTTTTGTCCTACAAATATGTATTTTATGTTAAGTTTTAGCTGTATATCTGAAAAATATTGAGTAAATATTTACAGTTATTGTTGATTTCAATAAA